AAAAAAAACTGAGACGGGCTACGAAAAAACACCCTTGTAAAATTTCAGTTTTCTAGCCTTTCTGGTTGTCGAGTTAGCAGCTGATCCGCCAAAAATCTTTTACGAGCTTGCACCCAGGAACCACGCACACCGGAGGCTGAATTTGATTACGCGGACGAAGAATACCTCTTATAGTAAGTGAGCAAGCAGCGATTACTACTTCGTTATTCGTTTTTTAGGGTACCATGGAAGAACGGATTTACAAGCGCCAGGTCACGAAGGAGTCGACATCACTGCGTGTGGTTGATGAAGCACAAATCCAGCGACATTTCGCGGGTCTTGATTTGTTGGAACTGTACAAGTTTGATCCGGATGAGTTGCCGAATGATGGAAACACTTCAACAAAATCACTGATGGCGCCACCGAAAGTTAGTTTTTGTGCTTGTGTCTTTTTCGCTTTGCTGTTAGAATCGTTTTTATACGAGGGGGATCAAAACCCCAATTTGCGCGGATCCCATGTTCATGTTATGGCTGCGATACTTCAACACGGCGAGCGTAGCTGTACCAGACTTATTGATCTGTACGGCATGCTTCCAGTTAAATATCTGTTTGTTTTGTCGTGAGCATCACTCGCTAATGCATGACGTTTTCATTGGTTGTTGCCAAGATAAGTATCATACCATACTCATCGGATTTTACTTTCTCGCGTGGTAACTTCTTACGTGCTGCTTTCTTTGCTGATCGCTCGCCCTTATAGCGGGTACCTGTTCTTCTTTCGTCAGTGATCACGTTTTCTCATTTTCCTATTCGGTTTTCATACATTTTCCCATTCTCCTAATGCTTTTTACACTGACAGGATTTCTATGTTATTCTTCAGCATTCATACCCTGACAGTTTGTAGGCGATGAGTTTTCTGTTGTGTCCAGTTTGATTTACATAATATACCGGGTCCCATCGCTCTTTTTCCTGCGTTTCAGCGTGTGAATGAGGACTTCCAGACTTGTGTTGCTTTGTTTCAGGATCGAATGTTGGCTGATATCATCCTATCACATAATGATTGCATCGTGAATTACATCCTGCATGACTCATTGTTCGAAAATCTGGAAGAGGAGAAGCTCACCGATCAGGTGACCTTTTAGATTTATCACTTGCGAGGACGAGGGATTTGTGAGGTTTTTTTTTCGAGATAGGCCAGTAAAAAAATTACTTTAGTCGATGAGCAACTTATGTTCATAGTGCTGTATTGCCAGTGAAGAAAAGCAGTAGCAGATAGTGTTGCTTACGTGTTTAAGATCAGGAGTTAGATGCCGCCGCTCAGAGTCAGTACTTTCGCAGTTCGTTCGTTTGTTTCGATGGTTAAAATGGTACTGGTGCATCATACCGAAGAGTGAAAGCTGCCATCAGCTTGTTTTTTGGCAATTTTCGGAAGAGACCATCGCCAGCCTTGCCAGGGGGTGCTGCTGTTGGTATTTGCTATCATTTGACCTACTTCCTTGGAGCCATAGCAATTCGTAGAGGGCAAATGCGAAGAAGAGAGAGGGAGGGGCGGGGAGAAGGGATTTCGGCTATTAAGATGAAATTTGAAACATTTCGGGTTACGGAGTCGCATTCACTGCTAGTGAAAAAGAGCACTGAAAATCGAGAGATAGCTATTTAAACGGCGCTTGTACCGCTTTTATGTTTGGTAGTGAATCAGATTTCTGGATGTCTTGTCCGCCTTTTGTTCGTTTTAGCTTTAAATTGCTCGACCAGTGGTTCTGAATATTGGAGCCAGGCTGGCTGTTTTGGTGCAAAGAAGCAGAAATAAATCCCTTATGTCTCATCTTATGGCATCTCAAGTATTCATACCTTGCGGCAGCACTATTCTCGCGACTGTTAATTTCTAACTCCCTACAGCAATATTCTAGGCAATCAGGATTGCAAATTAGATTTCAGTAAGGGTGTTGACGAAACTGTGACTGACGTAGCTCCGAGTTTTGATTTTTGTGTTGATTTCATTATCTGCTTTTTTTTTATATTCCATTTGTCAAAACACTGCAGGAATGTAGGGAAGCCTGGGAAGATTATGAGAGAGAGAAGTCTGGTTTGGTTCGGAACAATGGCATGTTCAACGACAATGTAGCTATGATGCAGGAGTTTGGTAAGAAATTTTGTTGTCATTGCTGTCAATGCATTTTGTTATTATTTATCATTACTGTTTAGACACTAATTGCGCCAAATCTGTGAGGCAATACTGAGTTCAAAGACTTGGTTTACCGTGCTTCGATTTTCTGGTTTTTCATGTGACAGTACCTGATACTCTGACCAGCTCCCATTTTATCATAGGGCGCCTCACGCAATTCGTTGCAGCTGTAGCTGTTATTTTTTTTTTTCAGATTTTAAAAAAATCAGTAAGCTGACCTCCAGGTGGAATTACACCACCTGGAG